TTTGGCTAAGGGACATTTCAGACATTTCACCCACATTTCATATTTGCAAATGTGAGACTTAGTCTTTATTTGCTATATTTCAAATTCAGAGTCCCAAATCACAATTTTATATATTAGGGGTCTTCATTTGCAATTTTTCCTAAAAACAATTATGATATAAATATAATAACCATTAATAAAAATAATAAAAGAAATTTGGAAAATACTTTCAGTGATGATTAAAATGTCACTGTAGAAAGTACCTTCAGTGGCGACTATCTTGTGTCGCTGTTAAAAGTATTTTCTGCAGAGTACTTTTAGCGGCGACATTATTTGCCGCCACCAAATTTGTACTTTTCATCGACAACCACATGAAGTCACTGCAGAAAATCCTACATTCAAAGTCACCGCCGAAAGTCATCGCTGAAAGTGATTTCTTTTCTTGTAGTGTGTGTAATGCGCTTTTTATTGTTGTTTTATAGATTCAATGCCAGGTGGGTTTTTCTTTTAATAATTATACCTCTCCCTCTTAACACGTCTTCTTTTCACATTAATCTTCTCATTTCATTTCTCTTTCTCTCTAAAAGCCACAAATTAACGTTAGCTTGCTGCACTTTACCGATTACGTAAGTCAAGTCTCACGAATTTTATGTTGGAAATTATCAAAACCACAGTTTAATTTTGCTTATTTTAACCACAATAATGGCCTGTAAGTGTTCGAGAAATCAACCAAAAACCAGATCAAATTACAAGAGTTATTATGAAATATCTCTAACCATTTCACTGGAACAAAATAAAGTTACGTCACTTAAAAATAAAATAAATTTCTAAATTTATCATGCTTGCAAATCATGAATTGTATCTTGAGATTGGAGACATAAAACTTGCATCACTTTAAATATGGACAAGCTTAGGTTTCGACTCTGTACATTTCAAGTGTTACAGGAGCTTTGATCGATCCAGTGTGTGGATCAGACTGTAGATAAGCTTATGGAACTGGTTTTAGTCAGAGATACATGTATAAGGCTAGGCAAAGCAATAAAAGAGGCTGCATTTGCATATTGACATGTTATGCATATAACTGTTATGAATTTTCGGTTATGAAACGTTAAATCTCATACCGTTATCTTAACATTTTCACGTGAGAGATTAAATAAGAGTCAAAGAGAGGCACAAGAGGAGTGAGCCTTAAAGCTTTAAGCTATGTTGAGCTCCTCAAACACATGTTATGCTATGTTATATTTAATTGTTATGATACCAGATTATTTTTATGCCACAGTCTATTTTGTTTCTAATAAATACTTAATTGAGGTTAAACTTTTCGATTAATATTCATAAGAATTAAATACATGTTGATTAAGTTTGTGTAGTTTGGGATAGAATCCTAAGTCTTATGTGCTATTTAATTGGGGTTTCTAAGACTTTTATTGACAAGTGTTCATTAAATGCTATCTTGTTGGTCTGTGGCATAAAATATAGCCTCTTCTCACATATGGTCTTTTCTTATTAGTTTTATTTCTCTTCCTCTGTGTTAACTATGAGCAGACAATGCCATCATGATTCAATAAGAAGTGGCGGCAAAAAAAAAAAAAAAAGATTCAACAAGAAGTAAATTAAAGAAACAAATTTGCATACAACGGAATGAATTGAATATTGACTAATGACGAGGACTGCAATAATCCTTCTCTTTCCCTGAAAATTCCAAAACCATATGGAACAAGCGAGGAGGTTTCTAACTTGGACGAGTATGATTCACTTGGAGGACCCCAATGTGAAGGTGTGAGGAAGTTTCCCATCCAAGTCAAAGCCTTCCTATTGCGTTCATTCAAAAGAATTCCATTTTGTCTAGCTCTTGAATGAAACAACCACCTACTTAATAATAAATAAAACTTAGAAAAACATTATATTGGCGTCAATAACGACAGAATATACAGGAATTGTGACATTATAAAAGGCCAGCACTCCCATGTGCTCTCTACACCAATAGGTCAATATTCTAAAGATGAGAGCCCTAAGAAGTCAGATGGTTGCCAAGTTGGTTGTGCTTTTCATTGCTGTTCAGTTTCTGACGATCCCAACCTCCCTCGCTGATCCGCGGTACTCCTACCGGTGGCTACCTCGAAGATATTATATTCTTAAGTCATCAAGCACCACACTTGATGAGGGAGATCCTACCTTTCCAAACAAAAAGCATAATCCTTCACCCCCACCACCACCTCACAAGTTCCCACCTCGACGAGGACCACCATCGAAAGGCAAGCCCCCATCGCTTCAGAATGAGCCTCAAAACTGAAGTAAATGAGCCATCAAAATATAAGCCACCGCCAACGCTCAAGCTGGTTAGCTTATAATCAATGCAAGCTATATGTATGAAAAGCTTATACGTAAGAATAAGGCTTTTTTTTCACTCATGATGTGTAATGCTCTTTTTATATATCAAGCACTGCGTGCTTGTACGTATACTTATTCCTCGGTTACAGAATTATTGTTGTTTTACTTTTAGACTTTTGTTTTAGAAATTCAATGCGACATGGATTTTTCTTTTGATATCTCTCTCTCTCTCTCTCACATATCACGTGTTCTTTTCAGCTACCATTCTATTCCTATTTATAAGGCACTTATATTCTAAATCTGGAAATTAAGAAATCTATCAATTGATCGATAATTTTTTTCCATATTTAACCTTATTAAAAAAGGTATATACTTTATCTGTTTTCTGCATTTATTAAATGAACAGGAGTAAAATTGAAAAAAAGTTTGTTAATTACCTTACAAGTGACTTGTATAATCTTTTGTCCCTCAAGTTTGCTCTCAGTTTGGTTTTAGTCTCTTAAAATTCAAACTATAAGTTTTGGTCCCTCAAGAGACAAAATGGTCCCGATATTTATTGGATTATAAGACTCATATTTTAAATGAAAAGAAACTTGAGTGACTAAAATCTATAGTTTGAAATTTGAAGGATCAAAACTAAAATAAGGGCAAATTTAAGATGCCAAAGATTACATTAACCCTATTTAGGAGCAAACTTTTCTTTCCAAATAACTTATAAATAGCAACAGAATAGTATGATTTTTCTGTTAATCTCATTTCTCTCTCTCTCTTTATTACACCACAAATTAAGCTTCCTGGAGTGCCCTGTTCAGCCATAATGACGGCTTGTAAGTGTGTGCGAAATAATATCGCTTTCATCGAAACTGTAAAATTATGTTAACTGAACATAACATCAATAATTGCTGATAGTTATTAGTCACTTAATAATGTTCATTAGTTTGTTGTAGTAAGAGAAGGGTCACATGTACCTCTACAGCTAAATACAACATGTTGAATGTAAACAATCTAATTTGTGTTGTTCAATATGTTGCAATAACTTGTGGAATGATGCATGTCCTTACCAGCTTCTCTTGTGCCATTAGGGATTTCTTTGAACTAATGCTTTCTGATCCAAGAGGTAAGGTTTTTGTTGATTGCTATACGGAGGACTTTATCTTTTTGTTATATATATACAAAATCTTCTTATATAATTTTAATTAATTATATATATGTGCAAATAGGCTTTGGATTGGACAAAATAACATTGTACGTTGTTAGACTGTAGATAATTATGTATAAATAATTTACGGTTATGTGGAAAAATGACAAGTATATAAATGAATCGGTTGGTGGTGATGATAAAAAAAGGGTCAAGTAACACATTATACTACATAGTAACCTGACCTCCTAAAACAACTATATAACCTCATTAATTGAAAATTTGTATTGTTTAACCATCAAAGAGGCTTCCCCTATTTGATACTATCTTCGATCTTAATTATAAGACTTCGATTATAGTCTATAAATGAGTTCATATAATTAGGACCGATTATAGTAATTAAAAATTCTTAAGTATAGTTTTTGAGTTTAAATGACGTACTCTTACTTGCTATTCTCAACTGTCAAATAAGACACAGAATAGGGATAACTCTGGAGTAATTTTATTTTGTATTTATATTTCATGAGTATATATTTTTCCCATTAGTATATATATTATTTGAAACCCTGGTCCCCACTCTATTTTTATATGTATTTTTCTCATGGTGGTTTCATTTTCTTTTTACTTCGAAATTTAATTTTTGGATACAAATAGGAGGACAGCAAAGACACTAGCGGCTCGGTAGCTTGGAACTTTATTTTCTTTTGACCCCGTGAGTGGAAAATGAAAAGATGTTAAAAAAAAAAAAACAATTATTAGTTGCGGTTTCAAAAATTCGTGGAAAAAATGCCTGTCTCTTGGGGCCCATGCATGAATGAGTTGTAAGAGATCAATTTGAAAATCTCTTCATAGAAGAATCAAAGAAAGTGGCTGAATTTATTAATGCCTTGGAGTAGCCTATCCTACACATCTGGTGATATTTACATAATAAGAGAAAATTTCATTACCCAATTTATTAGTCGCACTACTAAATATTTAGCATGAATATATTACTTTATGTTTTATTTATTATTGTATATATTGTTATTTTATTAAAAAATGTATATATCTTAAATAGGGATAAAATTAAAAGGTTATTAATTTTTAAAATAAAGTTAATAAGCTTTAAAATTTTTCTTGATGCCGGCAAAACATTTTTGAATTGAGTTATAAATTGGACGGGAATATATATTTAGGAGCAAAATCCATTTTTTAATACACAAACAGTGAAATCCGTTTTCAATAAGGCGCCCCACCATCCCCTTTCCAATCTGTCTTTTTAATTGACTAAATAATGTTAAGCCGACACAGAAATTTCCAGGATGGCTCACAACTGTGCCTTCCTGTTTTTTCTCGTCAACTTGTCTTCTTATTTCTATTGATTGGCTAAGTCAAGCTTTGATTTTTGGATATTGCGTAGATTTTTTGCTTGGTTACAAAATAAAACCTTTCTCCGGTTTACAGTTTGTTAATTACCTTGCGACCATCACTCTCATCATAGTATTTATTGCGAAGCATTAATCTCCTCCTGGGTCTTGAATAGAATCTGATAACAAGCCTTATCCCCACCAGCATGGGAAACCTTATCTTTCATTTCTGCTTCATCTTCTTCATGGCTTACCCAGGTTTTTGTCAGTCCAATTTTTCTAATTCCGATGAAGTGGCTCTTCTTGCTTTCAAATCTTCTGCCAGGGATCCTTACAATCACTTGCAAAACTGGTCCAATTCGTCTTCCATATGCAATTGGTCTGGAGTTACATGTGATTCTAAGCATGAGAGAGTAAGAGTATTGAGCCTTGAAAAGATGGGTCTCAAGGGAACCTTGCCCTCACAGATTGGCAATTTGTCGTTCTTAGTGAAACTTGACCTCAGCAGCAACAACTTGTATGGTAAGTTGCCAGAAGAGTTGCTTCACTTGCAGAGGTTAGAAACTCTCAACCTGAGCTATAATGCTTTCAGTGGAGAAATCCCAAGTTCGATAGGAAGCTTATTTATGCTTCAACACTTGATTCTTGGCAATAATAACTTTGGAGGCATCATTCCTGCAAGTATATCCAATTTGTCTACGTTGGAGACCTTGGATTTGAATTCTAACTCTCTCCAAGGATCTATTCCGTTTGATATTGGAAGACTTCAACGTCTCAAAATTTTACGCCTTTCTGTAAACAAGCTTTCAGGAATTATGCCTCCATCTATTTCTAACATTTCCTCACTTGAGCGGCTCATTTTGTCTCTCAACCTCTTACAAGGTATGCCTTTTGTATAAGCTTTTATTCTATTTCAAAATTCATACTATCGCCGGTCCTTAATAAAGGAAGTTAGTAAATTACTTGATTATAGCATATATTTTATGACCTCTCTAAAATATTTATGTATATTATTATATTGTATATCAATTTGTAAGTGAGGCAAATTAGTTTAGAGAAAAATAATAAATATAAATACTTTAAAGTAATTTAATAACTTTCTTGGTCTTCCCAAATTAGTCCAATTATAGTAAGGACCAGAGGTAGCAATATGTCTTCTCCACCTCTGTCTCTATCTCTATATATGTAGATATTATCATATTGTAATGTAATGAATTTGTTAGATGAATTTCATATCGTCAAAAGTTGAAACATCAACTGAAAAATTTTCAAATATAAGTTTCAAATTTTCAGAAGTTTAGTGTGAAGTTTTGAAAATATTTTTTTAAAAAAGATTTCACACTCATCTTCCATAATTTACTACTCCATATATAATAATTTGCAATTGAGGTCCCTCATTTTAAACACCAAGCGATATATAACTTGGACCGAAAAGAAAAAACCTATTCATTTGCCAATAACATGATAATCAAGCTTCCTTATAGGTAAAAGATTAGGAGTTGGTTAGTATTTACCTCTCTAATTGAAAAAAAAAGTAGTGTTGATACTATGTTGAATCATGAAATTTAACCTTGTTTTGGTTTAGGTCCCAAAAATTTAAAATCAGTAATTTTGGTCCTTAAAATTTGACCTCATTTTGGTCCACCTAAAATTTTTTTGACTCTGGAATAGTAATTTTGGTCCTTGAAACCTCGTTTTAGAGGTCAAATTAAAACTAAAATGAAGTCAAGTTTTAAAATTTAAAGACTATATTAACCCCAAAGAATTACTCATTTTGTAAGTCAATTATGTTTTACAAAACTTATGAGCTTTAGAAATTACAAAATTCCGGCTCTAAATTGCCGTTGCCTTTTTTGCTTTTTTTTTTTTGGTCTAATATTATCTGATGGTAATTTTGAACATCGCTCAAATTATTGGATATATATAAAGAGATAACAGTAATACATTACAAAAAATCTAATGTCTTACTCAATTTTCTCTTAATAGTAGTATTTTCCATACAACAGCTTACAGAGCTCACAAAAATTTTATTTTTTGTTGCCATATTTCAGGATATATTCCCATAGAAATGAATAAGCTTACAAAGCTGAAAATTATATACTTGGGAGGTAATAAGTTGAGTGGCCAAATACCAAGAAGTATTGGGAACTTGATCATGCTTCAAGAGTTATCTCTTTCAAACAATAACTTACAAGGTACGCATAAGATTTTAAATCAACATAATTTGTCATTATCTTCTTTTTTTTTCCCTTTTGATGATTTTCCCCGGGCATGCATCTTTTCTATCGTTTTTCCAACAACTATACTTGCATCATTAGAAGCAAGCACATTGATTTTTTATCAATAAGCAATCAAGGTAAAAAAATTAGACTGGTGAATAAACTAGTTAAGATTGTGAGTCAAAAGTTAGTAGGTCAAATCTAGTCAGATCACTAATAATTAAAATAATGTAATGTAACTAACATCTATAAATATATCCTTAGTTTAATTATATTTTTTTCTTTCCTTCTTCAGCACATCAAGTCTTTTCTCTTTCTTCTTTTTCATACGCAACGGTCAATATGATTGACGGGATTGGCAAATTTTTTATCTCTCTCCTCCATTACTACCCTTTCTCTTTCTCATATAATAAAAGTAATAACAAATTAATAATAATCACTCTCTTCCTCTATCATTTCCTCAAAACCCATTCTATTTTCCAAACTCGCGTCTTTGGATTTCTTTAAACAAGAGAGGAGCACCCTGCCATCAAGTCTCAACTCGCCCACAAACTAGAAGGAGCGCACCTTGAGGCTCAAACTTTCAGTAGCCTCCATGACTTCACCTTGGTCAGATTTGATCGGTCCCTCTTCTTTGAACTTGGCATCGTTTACGTCTCTGCAATGGTCCAAGAGGGAGATCTCACTACTAAAATGGTAGAGGGAGTACAAGGAAGAAGCCATTCTATATGGTAGTGGCAGGTAAGGAGAATGACGGCAAGACCTAGGATAAGAGTTTTCCTTTCCCCCTTTTTCTCTAAAAATAAACCTGTAACTCGCCTAGCTCAGCAAGTTATCCGGGTTAGGCTGGGTTGCCTCAACTTAGGCCTAGTCACACCAGTTCAGTTCTTCCCCAGCTTTGTTGATCATCTAGACCGGACAGGTGGCCGGTTCGTTGATATTTGGTCTTGACATGTCGGCCTGATCCGGTTTTCAATTCCATGTAAGCTCTTAGTTGAGATAGTAAGTAGTCTCACCCACCGTAAGAAGGAAAACATGAGTTTGAATCCTGATAAGTACACCTGTTGGGAGAACTTTAATCTTAACAATCAAAATCCAATAGAGATTAGTCTTGAATTCAAAGTAACTTGATGATATTCTGAAAAACTAAAAAGTAATATTAGTAATAAAAGAGGCTATAACCACCAACAAGCTATTCGCTTGGTTGAAGTATTAAGCAGCCTCACCCGACAAATCCCAGAAAGCACAATCGTTAGGAGAACTTTAACCTTATACGCTTCTAATCCAATAGAAATTAGTCTTAAACCTATAGTAGATTTTGAGATACCTTGCTTTTTACACAAAAAGAGGTTATAACCAATTTAAATTTAGGTCCATATTCTTTAATGCCAACCAAGTGAGTCTTATTCTTATAAACCTTGTTTTTTTTTTTCACAAAATAAAAGAGGTTATAATCGATTTATGTTTGAGTCGATATTTTTTAATGCCAATCCAAAGTAGCTTCAACCTTAAATGCTTCTAGCCCAATAGGTATTAGTATTATACCTTCTTTTTTTTTGGCTGCTTGAGAGAGCCATCTGAGTGAGTCTTATACGTATAGTGAGTTTTATTTTTATATACCCATTTTCACCCAACCAAAAGTCTTACCAGGGAGAAAAATCAACATCTCAAGTGTGCAATACTTTCATATGATGTACTTGAGATAGGTATGCTACTATAATAATCAAGAAGCGAAGTATACTTCATAATTATTTGATTTCACACTCAAGAGGCGAAGACTTGGCTTACAATGCTGCATGGTTCTTAAAACTGATGAAGACTGGTTCTTTTTTCAAGACTTTGCAACATGAAGATTTCATTACTCGCCGGGAAATTCCACCATTGTTTGGGGTAGAATTGCCCAATAAAATGATTCTTGAAACGTAGTCAAACTTTGAAAGTTCGAGTGAAAAATCGCAACGGTAGATTTTACTTTAGCAAATGTTGGCATGCATTTATGAGAGACAATAAGCTGGAGAATATTGATATCCTGATTTTCAAATTTATTACAAATAAAAATTCAACACTAAGAGTTAAAATTTTTTATGGCCAAAGCTGTTATGAGAAGCAAAATTTAGAATCTGGAAAAGAGAAAGATTTTAGTGGATTGCTTCCTAAGTCTGCAAATTAGACGGTCCTTGCTTCCAAGTAAAACTTCAACTGGCTCTGATACCATATTAAGCATGTAAGAACAAATGCCAATGAAATGTCATTAATAAATAAAAGAGAGACATTGAACCCCCTTTGGGCTATACAATTCTTCCTTGAGGATAACAAACAACTTACTAAACCCTTGGGAGAGAGCCATGTTATCCTATCTCTAGAGAGAGACCCATGTTATACTATGTCATGTTAAAAAAACATAAGATACCGTTAGTTAGTTAGTTAGTTACTGAGATTCTGTTTTATTTTTCATTTCTGTACACTAGCCATTATACTCAAGGGACATAACCCATAAAAGGGGTTCCTAGATCATTTGTACCAGTGATGATTATTTTCCAGAATTGAATACACTCTGAATTCTTCAATCTCTCCTGACCTCTCTATTCTCTCCTTCTCTTTTACTCTCTTCTCCTTCTCTCTAATTTCCTCTATTCTCTCTGTTTTTCTTCCCTTTCCTTTCCCTCTCTCTCGTTCTTTTTCAATAACATAACAGTGGTATCCAGAGCTAGTCTTTCCTCGGCCCTACCCCACTACTTAGTTCTTTCTCCCTCATTCCCAATCAATTTCAAGTTCTATCGAGGAACGTCTCCGTCAATAAATTAAAAGAGGCCCTTCTTGGCTTGTCCATGTAGCTGCAAGAACTTATACCACAAAAAGACTTGCTTCATCTTCGACATTGAGGGTCCATGGCAGGATTTAATTCTGAATTTGACGTGATTTCCTCCAAACTCTCATTGCCTGAAGATTGGTTGGTCGATGCTTACATCTCGGCACTGCAAGAAGACTATGTTGAACCAGTACATCTGTTCTTGCCTCGGACGATGCGCAAAGCAAAAAGCCTCGCAAGAATGCAGGAGCTCACTTTGCAATGTAAACGCAAGAAGAATGAGGCCCAAGAGGTATTTGTTGAAATGCAAGAATCGTCTAGCGTCAACGAGCAACCGCAGAAGAGTCATCCAGATGTTTGTGAAGACAAGTGCAAGAAACCCATAAAGATGTTGTCAACAAAAGAAAGAACGCTTGAACCACTTGTTCCTCAACAAGAAACCGAGGGCAATGGTGCAGCCAAAACCACGCGACTAAGCTTCTTGGAGCAAGCGCAGACGTGTTCACATGTAACACGAAAGACCGAAGACGCGAAGGTAAGCCCAAACACGATGACGAATGGAGTTGTGGTCGCTACGCATGGAGTTGTTAATGCTCTTCGCAAACCAGAAATGTGGAGTAGCGTGAAAATCAGCTCTGCTATTAATGGTTCTCTAAGTGTCAACTCTGTTAAAGGATCACAAGACCTTTCGCACGCAACGCACAGGTGGAGTAGCAAAGAAATCACATTTGCGTGTGGTGGATACCAGCCATTACGATCGCGTTTTACAAAAATGTGTTCAGGATTGTCTGTGTCTTCAAACTCGATGAATACGCGATTGACTTGGAGAAGTGAAGACTATATGTGACTTTCAAGGCAAACTAAACAGGTTATGGATTGTCGTGGAAAGCAAAAGCTCATTTTGAAAAGTCAAATGCCCAGCCGTCTCCCGACTTCTCTGTTCTCTCCTTCTCTTTCTCTCTCTTCCCTCTTCTTCCTCAAATTCCATAACATCCTATCTCTAGAGAGAGACTCATGTTATCCTCTCTCTAGATTTCATTTTGAAACGGTGGAGAAGCTCCTCCAGATAGCGTCCAAAAATAAGCTACTTTTGCTTATAGGTCAATTACAAAAGTAGCACATCCAAACGATGAATTTTACTCAAATAAGCCAGTAACCTCAGTTACACACTTTCCCAAGTGTTTTTGGCTTCTCCAATGACAATCCAAACATGCCCTAGGTCATTTGTAGAGCCTAACTAAGTGACTCGTCTAACTAATTAACTACCCACCTTACCATTTCATCCTTCCAACAACTCTGCTTTTAAATATAGGAGTTAGAAAATTGGTTTTGGTTGTAAGACAATCCATTTTATCTCACATATTTATAATTTTTCTTCAACCTAATTTATTTAACTTATAAATTAATATATATATATATATATAGTCCAATGTTAGATAGAGATATTTTAGAGAAATTATGTCACACATTTATTAGAATTAAATTTGATTAAATAACTCTTATGTTAAGAGCACTGAGGAGTATTGTTTTATGCTACAAATCAGACTTCATAGTATTATGATTTTATTGTGCTGTCATACTGCAGGAGACATTCCCAACGAAATTAGCAATCTTACAAATGCGAAGAATATATACCTGGAAACCAATCAATTGTCTGGTCACATACCAAAAAGCATTGGAAAATTGACAACGCTTCAAGAGTTATCTCTTGCCAACAACAACTTTGAAGGTATATATAGTTTATTAAATTGGAAGTGCTCGGCACTTTTCTTTTACTATGATATTTTTTTCGTGGGCTCTTCTGTAATATCTCATGCCTAAGCAATCAATAGATATAGTGCAGAGAGTACACTTTCTTCAATCCTATATATAATATACAAAATAACTAAATTATATAGATTAAAAAGTTAGTTTAAATTGTTTAAGGAAGTAAATATGTAAAATTTATATTTAAATTTTTAAAAAATAATCTTATTTATGGGGAAAAAATGAACGAGAGATAGAGAATGAGGTGAATAAGAAAGTGAATGAAAAATAATTGATGCAATAATATAACTAAAAGTGAAAAAATTGATTAAAATTCCCAACATTTTATAAATAGAATCAAAATATTCAAAAACCTTCTCTCTCACATGCAGTATTTATTGAAAAACTTGGTGATCTAATCAAAGTGAATTTCATAAAGTTAAATATGCTTTTTGGCCGCACATCACCAGAGATTTGAAACTTAATAACAATACTTCAATGGGTATATTTAGGCAAGAGGCTTCTAGCACCCCACTCTCTAATGTCTCCTATAATATCACAAGCTCTCAAGTCCCAAATATATTTTTCCTTTTTATTAATAATTTGATTCTATATAAAATCAGTGATATTGATATCTTATAATAAGTGCGAAATGTTATAATTTTGAATTTTGTTACTTTTTTAAAATAAATCAAAATTGCAAACTTTCAAAGTAATTTTTTTTAAAAAAAAGGTTAAAAAAATTTAAAACTGCATCATCAAAATGTCATTTTATTTTATGTGGAATCTAATGATCCACGGGGGAAAGAATATTTGGGAGCTTTGCGCATTACAAGGGGTACTAGAGAGTGAGGCATTAGAAACCCCTTACCCAAATTAGTATATCCAGAGGTTGACAGCTTAGAAAAGTAGAAAGTGCTACTATCACTAAAAGAAGAAAAAAGACTCCATCATACTAACACATAACCTAAGTGTTGCTCATTTTACTTCTAACTTTTTATGCATCATCAACACTATAAACATTGCTATTTTTATTTTTGGTTTGCAGGAATTATTCCCAATGAAATTAGAAGCCTTACAAATCTGAAAATAATGGACATATCAGCTAATCAACTATTTGGCCACATACCAAGAGGCATTGAAAACTTGACTATGCTTCAAAATTTGAACCTTGAAAACAATAATTTAGAAGGTACATTTTCACTCCCAATATAACGTGCTTATTATCATTTTCCGGTTAATATATATGATATTCTATTTCTATGCATCAGCATCATTCAGTAGTGCTTTTTCTTCTTATAGTTTGCAGCCATAATGCACAAGATGTTCAAAGGGCGCTATGCCATTTATTTGTGCGCGCGCGCGCGCACACATATATAGAGAGGGGGGGCACTATGCTACTAAGACTACTTGACTGGTTAGATTTAATCATCTACAATAATAGAGTTGTGTTCAAATAAAAGAGCTAGTCCCTCACAATGTGGTGATTTAAAATTGCTTTTTCATGAGGAGATGAGTCCACACTTAGTCCTTTACAAACTTCGAACTAGCTTCTAATATATAAGAGAATACCTATATTTAATCAAAGAAAAAATAGTGTTCATCAAAGAGTGCATAAAAAAAAATACATGTCAGTTCACAAAAAAAAACATGTCAATATTCTCAATGCAAATCTCCACATTCTAAAAACCATAGTGTGTGGCCATATACATTGAAGAACAAATTAGTTGCATTAGATCCACTTCAAAATAAACCAAATTAATCCAATATAGCGCACAACTAATACCATATTCATTTTAAGGTACCTCTAAAAATGTATAAGTATGCAAAATATAAAAATTGACTTTGGAAAAAGATTGATTTTTTTTTCCTCTCAACTAACTAATTGACAAGTTTAATAAAGATGCAAAAAGGAGTAAAATGGCTTTTAGTTTATAAAAATGGTATGAGTGAGATGAAAACAAGTGACAAGAATGAGATGGTAATCCTCCAGTACAATGATTTAGACTATCATTACTTTAATTAATTTGAGAGTTAGCCAGCTTCAAAAGACTCTAATGGCCATCCCTAAGACTCAATTTAATTAGAATAATTAATACCTAGCCATCTTGAGTACTAAAAGTGCCATTAGCACTGTGAGAGAAAGTTAGCTCAAACTGATATTGTCAGGTCTTTTTCCTCTTAGATCACTCAAACTGCTCTCTAAACCCATAAGAATCCCCTATTAATCTTCTGAAAGAGAGAAAAGTTGCTCCATACACGCTAGAGAATATAAACATGCAACTTTCTAAACGGCTAACGGAATATTGTGATATGTTGATTCCCAATCCACCAAAACTTTTTATGCATATTCTCATGTGAAGTGATAGAGAGAATAAACAAAAGAAAGGTAAGTTCCCATGCTTGTACATTTATGTTCTTTTGTGAGGTTTCTACCAAAAGTTTTCTAGAATTTTATAATAAAAATAGTAAAGGATCTATAAACATCTTATATCCAACCTACTGTACGTTAAAATACATTATCTGACTTTACCCAAAAGAAAATTACATTACCGGTAAATAAAGTCTTGGTGGATAGCATTAGTGACCAAGCACTCAATAAGTATCATAGGCACATCCAAATAGTTAGATAGTATAATTTTATTTACATTTTTATATTTACTTCATTGGTACTCCAATTATTTGTATTCCAGGCTCAATACCTTTGGAAATAGGCAATCTTCAACAACTTGAGACATTATTGTTGTCTCAAAACAAATTGACCGAATATATTCCATCCGAAGTTTTCAACATCTCAACTTTAGAATTCTTGTCTCTCTCAAACAATTCTCTATCAGGAAGTCTTCCATCAGATCTTGGATATGGCCTTCCTCATCTACAAGAGTTGTATTTATGGGGAAACAAACTTTCTGGAAGAATCCCGAGTACTATATCCAATGCTTCTAAGTTAACCATTCTAGAATTGGAGCAAAATAATTTTGAAGGGGTTTTACCAAGCACACTTGGACATTTAAGATACTTAGAAACCCTTTCGGTGCATGGGAACAATTTCACCATAATGGATGATTTAAATTCTGAAACTGGCTTTTTTAGCTCGTTGTCAAAATGTAGACATTTGAAAACTCTGATTCTCTCAGAGAACCCATTGCGTATGAAACTTCCCAACTCCATCGGAAACTTATCTGATTCTTTACAGATGCTGATGATCGACTTCTGCGGGGTTTATGGCAACATACCATCAGAAATTGGAAATCTGTCTAACTTGTTTGAGATATCTTTTGCTGGAAATGTTTTAAATGGATCAATTCCAGCAACAATTAGCAACTTACAGGCTCTTCAGCATTTGAATCTTGTGGGCAATGAGCTAGATGGTTTCATTGTAGATGAGCTTTGTGACATTAGAACACTTGCATATTTATATCTATCTCGAAACAAGCTTTCTGGAGCAATACCCCCTTGCTTAGGAAACCTTATGTCCCTACGAAGACTTTACTTGGGCGGCAATAAGTTGATTTCTGATATACCTTCTTCCTTTTGGAACTTGACGGGTATATTGGAAGTAAACCTATCTTCCAATATGTTAGTTGGAAATCTTTCATTCAAGATTGGGAACATGAAAGCTCTTATTCGATTAGACTTGTCAAGAAATCATATTTCAGGCACCATTCCATCAACCATAGGCAGCTTACCAAATTTGCAAAATGTCTCCTTAGCAGATAACATATTGCAAGGGACGATTCCGGAATCACTTGGGAATTTGCTGAGCTTAGTAAAGCTAGACCTTTCCCAAAATAATTTGTCTGGTGAGATTCCTAAATCACTAGAGTCACTTACATCCCTTAAATATGTTAATCTCTCTGATAACAGACTGCAAGGTGAGATTCCTAGTGGTGGGGTCTTCAAAGATTTGACGGCTGAATCTTTCATGATGAATAAAGCACTTTGTGGTGAGCCGAAAATGCAAGTGCCTCCATGCAGAAAAGAACAAAGAAAGAGGTCAAAGGCAAAATGGATTTTGTTGAAATACATACTACCTATGGTTTTGTCAGCAATTTTAGTTCTTTCAGGCATTATCCTGTTTCGTCGTAAACGAAGGAATTCTAGGCATACCATAGTGAAACAAGATTTATCAACTTTAGGAATGCCAAGAAGGATTTCGTATTTTGAAATATTGGATGCAACCAACAAATTTGATGAGAGTAACTTACTGGGAAGTGGAAGTTTTGGTTCTGTATTCAAAGGAAGGCTTTCAAATGGAATAATGGTTGCTTTTAAAATATTTAATTCTGATTCAGAAGCTATGTCAAAGAGCTTTGAAGTGGAATGTGACACAATGCGTAATGTGCGTCACCGCAATTTGGTGAAGATCATTAGTAGTTGTTCCAGTGATGACTTCAAGTGTTTGATAATGGAGTTCATTCCCAATGGAAGTCTTGAAAAATGGTTATATTCTCATAACTACTGTTTGGATTTTTTGCGAAGGTTAAATATAATGATAAATATTGCATCTGCTTTGGAGTATCTCCATCATGGCTTGCCAACACAAATAGTTCACTGTGATCTGAAGCCAAGTAACATTTTGTTAGATGACAACATGGTTGCTCATGTGAGTGACTTTGGAATTGCAAAATTTTTAGATAAAGGGAAATCTAGGACACTCACAGAAACAATACCTACAATTGGTTATGTAGCACCAGGTAATTATCCTACACCTTTGCTTCTTTTGCTTCCCCCTTCAATATGCATACTCACAAATTCTTATATGACAAAAACTCTTGATTATTTACTTCTAACTTATGAGGGATTTTTTCAGACTAAACAAGGGAGCTATACTTGTTTAAGTAATTTACAGTATACGCTTGTCAGATACTTTTACGTTTTGTTCTTTGAACTTTTCCTCAATTTATTGATTCTGTCTTTAAACTAATTTGAAATAATTTTAATAAGTCAATTCTTTTATCTTTTTTAACTTGAGCTAGCCTAATCCTTGCAATTCTTTACACCTCAATAAACTGCAAGGGCTGAATTGATTAAATTCTTAGTTTGCAAATTGTTTTTATGAGATTGTTGATTTTTTTTTTTACCTTGGTGGAATCAAATCATATGCAGAATATGGATCTCTTGGAATAGTTTCAGCAAAAGTTGATGTGTACAGTTTTGGAATAATACTGATAGAAGTATTCACAAGAAAAAGGCCAACAGAAGATATGTTTGTGGATGGACTGAACTTAAATAGTTGGGTAAGTGAATCAATGTCACATTCACTAACTCAAGTGATAGATTGCAATTTATTAAAAGGAGATCATGGTGAACAATATATGGCTAACATTTTGACATCTACATCCTCTATTCTTCAATTGGCCTTGAATTGTTGTGCCAATTTTTCACAAAGGCGTTGCAATATGTCAGAGGTTGTGGTATCATTAAACAAGATCAAGGACATGTTTGTTCAATCACGTCATTTAAAGAAATATTGAAGCTATTTGCAGCTAATTTGCATTATTGTCTATCTCTCATATTTAGAAATTGGATGCAATACGTAGTGAGAAATTAATGGGGACACACTGTTGAAAAATATATGAGCTGTAAATTTAATTTATTGTTTTTTTGTATGAGCTGTAATATATGGATTATGAACGTTTTGATTAATGACAAGTAGGAGTCCATATTTTTAAGTTTTTAAAGAAGATATTGATGTATATTTACTTCTTCCCTAGTTCCTTTTTGCGGATGTTTCTTGATGCTACATTACGTATGGTTATTTTTTAATATTCATAAATCCTTATTCACGTTATTATTTCATATTTTGATTATAATACTTTTTGGCAAACAAATAAATTAAGAGTTATGGGAAAGCACTTATAAGTGAGTTTGACAATTTTGATGAGTTAAATAATGCCATTCAACAACTTGCAAGTGATGTGCTTATCTCACGTTGGAAAATTCATTACATTATATATATAACTTTGGAATGCACTTTTGTAATTGTTCTTTTTTTGTGTGTGTGAATAAACAATACATAATATTATTTCTTCAAAAAAAAATACACGTTTTCTGTCAAACAAGATTTTTTATATTTAAAAAATTATTACTTCTTCAATATATTTTATCATATTATTGAGGTGATAGTAAATTTAAATTTTTCTAATGATTATTAATTATTTTTAGAGTTTTGTACTTCTTCTGTCTCTTTATGTAAGTAAAACGCAGTTCTCAGACTTCTGCACGCCGTTAAGTTCGTACATGTCTGCTTCTCCTCCTCCTCCTCCTCATTCTTGCCCTTAATCATTTGTTAGGATGTACAGGTCATATATGATCAAAACGTTGAATGTACAAGCTTTCTAATGGTACAATATGACCTAGGTAAAATTTGGATGAGAAATGAAAGAGAACCGATGTCCAGGAAAATCCCTCTGGTCTATAAACAAACCGTCATCTTGTAAATGAAAATACAAGAGGTTGATTACTTCTGCTACATGGAACCGGCTTTACGAAATAATTGCCAACTACATGTAGAGTTCTAACGTGAGGATTGTGTTCTCTGAAGAGACAAAACTAAGAATATTTATTGCAAAACTTAATTACTTTCGCAAGTATTTGGAGACAAGTCCAAATCGACCACTATAAAAAATGAACTATACGATATAAAACTCTAGCGACAATAGCAGCACACCGAGCTTGGCAACGCTAGCTTGTAACCCAAGTGGGGGTACTAAGGTGATGGGACACGGCTTTGGCATTATCTGGTCGGCTTGAAGGAGGCAATTAGCTGGCCTGTCCATTCCAAGTGGAGAGCTGAGCCATGGGTCCTAAGCGAAGGCTCGAGGCTCGTGGTTCCTAAACAAGAGGGCACTGCGTGAGGCTGGTTTCACAGAGCAGCGACAACCTCTGCCTCGTCACAGTGGAAGGATCACAGGCCGCTGCTTCTCAAGCCCACAATGCCTGGTGAGCCTAGCTGCTTGAACCATCACCTTTTTGTTTAGGCCTCCTTGCGTTGCTCTCTTTCTGCCCAAGAGAGAAAGATGCCATTCGACCAGCAATGAAACTGTCAATCTGCTGTGTCACGCCATTTCAGCATGAAAAATTGAAGTTGGAATAAGAATGGTAGCCTCAGGTGTTACATGCCTCAACACAAACCAATAAACTTAAGAAGCCAATCACATCATGTTTTAGATAGATCACCCTTTATACTACTTGCCCAGTTCTCACTTCAGATTCCAATTCAAGTAGTAGTTTCATCTTGTCATCAACTATACTCTTCAATAAAGAGATGCCACCCAGTCCTTATCAAACCCAGACGATTCCAATTCAACACATAGATCTTCATGTTTCTCCCATTATTATTGCGTTTAATTTGCTGGTTGATTTGAAAAAACTCCTAACATGTCGGCTAAGGTTTTGCACCGATCCCTCTGTCCCTTCATGTAAAGCCCAGTTTTGAAATTCATCGATGCCGATGTCTTCCTTTTTCCTTTGTCGTTCTTTCCTATCCTGCCCTTATTCATTTAGTAGGGGTTGGCCAAAAAGAAAAAAAGTCTACAACTGTAGTGTTTTCAACTTCTCGATCGGTAGACACTGTTGAATCCATGTTAGCCTTGGAGTTAATGAATGATTATTCCTCATTATTGTACTCACTGAGCTTAGCTTAAGATTTATTCTCTTAATATTAATACTTTTGTCATTGTCATGTGTAGCCAATGGGTGTCGTAATGAGAGTCATGTTCCCCTACATAATGCTTGCTCATTGGTCAAAAACTGACGTTCAACTTGTAAAAGAGAGAACCTTTTTTTTTTTTTTTTTGAAGGGGGATTGAGGATACTAGGGACGGAGAGAGGAGCAAAGACAGAAGAGGGCGACGAGGTCAAAGAAGAAAAAGCTACGATCATGTCACTTAAATCCAAACATCGTCGTTTTGGGATGAGCTAATAGTTGTGCCTTGGCATTGCATATTCTTCTTCCTAGGAGTGTGCATGGGTAGGGCTAGGCAGGACAGGACCCCAACCGGGCTGCATCTACCTGGCCCTACCAAGTAGAAGCCCAAGTTATTTTGGGCTGGGCTAATGCGATTTGGGCAGGGCAGGCTTTCCTTGTCCAAATTTACAACTTGACTCATAAAATTTAAAATATTGCCGTATGTCCTAACAGATATCCATGCTTTAAGAATTTAATAATATCCATAATTTATTAAAAACAAGACAATAAAAAATTGTAATTAAAGCCTCAAAGTCCAAATGATTTGCATCGATCTCCACAAAATTGAGAAAATAACAAAACATATTAAAAAAAATACAAACTATACTAACATATTCAATTATATTATTAACTTATAGTTTAATATAATTTATAGACATCTATATATTACATTCAAATCAGTATAATTAGTATCATTTCACGATATATGAAGTAATATCAATATGAAAAAGTTAAAAAACAATTATAGTACACAGCAAGGCATTTTTTTGGTAGGCTCGGGTGGGCACACGGGGCTATTGAGAACACCCCTGCTTCTTGCTCATGTTATTGTACTTCACTTTCACTGTACTACAGCCAGTCCTTAATATAAGAACAAGATATTTAATTTAGCAATATTAAGAAAATTGGTTAAGTTGGTGACAAACTCAATTATTTTATATATTTTGATATCTTTTATATGGGTTTTGTCAACTTAATTGGTCCCTTTTTACCTTAATTGATTATTAATTGATTTATTATGTTTTATTTTGAATTATTAGTTTATAGGGGCAAAATTGTCATGTTTTGATTTAATTATGATTAATTGATTTTTAAGGACAATTAATGCTACCTTATTCTTAAATTTTGATTGTAGGTTTTTGGAAGATTTAAAAAGTAAAAATAAAAATAAATAAAAAAAGAAAAAAATAATAATAAAAGGGGAGCAAAACGCAACGTTTCCCCCAACCTAATATAATATAATTCAATCTTCTTCACCGAGGAGCGAGAGGCGGACACACAAGCAAGACGCAACACGGAGCCGACGGCGTGGGAAAAGGGAAAAAAAAAAAAAGAAAACGCGAGGGGGGCTTGGCGTAAGGAGATATAACGGCATTATTCATCTTCATTCTTGAACCAGAGGACGCACACACAAGGACCTGGGACTCACGCGAACAGAGTCTTGACGGCACTGGATGAGAGACAGCGAACAGAGTGGGGCGTGAACAGGGAGACGTGAACCAGATCAGCGAACAGAACAGAGCAGCTGGACAGCACGAGCTTGACGACGGAGGAAAGGATTCACGCTGAATTCTTCACGCTGTTGTTCTTCCATGGAAGCTTGCAATAGAGTATTGAATATGGCATTCCTTATGGCAATCCGTGGCTAAGGTTTCATAATTCTCTAATTCAACAATAATGGTAGGAGCTCGGATCATCAAAAGGGAGTTTAGTTACTTTAATTTCCTGTCTAATAATTGTTTAACAATTCCTAGGTCTTAGGATAGTTATTATGATTATTAGAAAATTTTGTATTGTTAAATCTGATTATTTGTGGAGATTATTGTGACTGGATTATTGTTTAGCATTTGACATTGGGTTGTTTATAGCTTTGATTTCAATTATGATGTTGTGGTTATGACATTTGTATTGATCTTGGAGTTAATATATTGTGATTTTCTGAGGTGGCTTGGAATCTTGGATCATATTGTCTCTTGCTAGCTTTAATTTTGTTATTTTGGATTTAAGAGTTCTAATTAAGCATTAGTGTTTAGCATCCTCAATCTCATTTTACTATTCTGGTTGCAGTTAGTAAGTTGGGATTTTAGGAAAATATTTTGTGGTAACTTGAGGTGGCTCGATTGTTAGATTAAAAGCTTAATTATAATTCTTAATTCATTGTTTTTAACTCCCACATCTTTTAGAGTGATGATTGCCTGCGTTGTTGAATTGGAGAATTGATTATTATCATTGTTATTTGTATGTTTCATTTTCAGTTCTTTTATCTTCAATATATTTCAATCATTTCATATAAAAACCAAAAAAAATATTTTAATTTCAATTTAATTCAAGGTGTTTACTTAGAAATTATCAAATCAAAAATCCTTTTTAGAGTTTAGGTTACTTACATTTATTTACTAGGATTTAATTTTATTTTCGACTCATCAAAGTGAATACGACCCGAATTGTGATTAGATCAGCCTGAAAATGCTCATTTTTTTTCCTCAAGCTGTGTTTTTTTTGGGTTGGGTAGGGTATTTTTTTGGTAGGCTCAGGTGGGCACACCGGGCTATTGGGAACACCCCTCCTTCTTGCTCATGTTATTGTACTTCACTTTCACTGTACTACAGCCAGTCCTTAATATAAGAACAAGATATTTAATTTAGCAATATTAAAAAAATTGGTTAAGTTGGTTATTTGTTACAAATATGTGTTGATTATATTTCTCTAAACTCTCCTCTTCAATCATGTCCATTAGATAATTAGAATTATTTCATGGTAGGAAACCTTTACAATCAATAGCGATATTTTGGGAAAAAATGTACTCCTTTGGTTCTATTTATAGGACAGAGAGAGAAAGCATTTTTTGGTCCTATTTATAGGGCACTGAGAGAATTTTTTGTATGGATGTACAATTTTACCCCTCATTTATTATTGTATTGACTTTGTTTATATGAGGTATAATATGTATTAAATAGAAATAAAGTTGAAATGTTGTTAAATTTTAAATGAGAG